TGCCATAGCATAGAAGTTCCGCACTAGCTGGACTAGCATTCGCTGTCCAGCTTCATAGACTGCCTGCCCGGAAACTACCCCCGCGAGCGTGATTGGAAAACGTTCAGAGGGTGCAATTGGAAGGGGTTCAGAGGATGCTATATGACTGGGGACCAAGTCATACTCGAGGTTGGTGGAAGCTATTTCAGCAGATGGAAAACCTGATGGAACTAGAGCCTGAGGTCGGGCAGCCTTATGTAGAACTAGGACAAAATGGTGCGTAAGGGTGATACCGTATGGCCGCCAGGTAGCATGAAATGCTGCAATGTCAGCAGCAGGTGGTCCTGACAGCTGCCCATGCACAGCAACAACATGATCATGGTGATGAGCATGCTCCTGGAAGGCATCAATCATGCTCGCAGGCTGGATCACAATGTCGGAGAGTCGCCCAAGAATGCGAAAGCCATCCATAGTAGGATTAGGAGCCAGAGGATTATGACAAGGGTTTTGTGTTGTGGCAACGAGGATAGCATGTCGAAGAGAGGGTGGGCCTAGCAGAAGGTTGTATATATCGGGGTGAGTTCGGTCAATGGTAAGGAGTGTGATATGGTTTTTCAAAACAAATAGCAAAGTCTGGATGTGAACAGCAACCATTTCCTGACTCTCAGCCAGGAAGCTAGATAAGACCGGAATCCCAGGAAACACTTGCGCAACTCCAGGAGATTCTGTATGGACAGAGATGCTGATACGGGTATTGACAGGCTCATGGCCAAACACTTCAGCAGTACTTTGCCTCAGGCCTGGACTTGAGGGGAATTGTCCCTGCTGTTCCACAGGCCCTATCAATTGTTCCCATAGAGCATCTGCCCCACTAAACTCTGGAAAGTAATTATGATTAAGCCGCTACAGCATAGCGTTCTACTATGCACTTGCCATTCATCCGAGACAACTTCACTGAAATATGTGGATGATAAAAAGTATTAATTGGGCTGCCAGGATTAATTATATGGTGATAGGATTGTCAAAGACTGGCTAGAGGTAGAGTTGAGTGCAATGCGCCCCTAGTACTAGTATGGAAGTACACCGAATACAACACGCATGGCACTGCCACCTATAATAGGGCCACTGTGGATTTCGACTGCAACAGCCATAACACCTTTCTGCCTGTTTAGTGAACTTTCAAGATGGACACAGGATCCCTGGAGCAACCAAGCCTTCTTGATGCTTTCCGATTTCACTACCACCGATTTTCGGAATCCATTCAGAGCATTATCGAGCATCCGACAGATTCAGTCGTATTAGAGCGACTTGGCGATGACCTCGATATGTATGCGCAACTGGTAGAAGAGGTTCGATTTCAAATACATATTCTTGGACCATATTAATATTTGTCCCTGGCAGAACACTCAAATCTTCCCAACTGAAGAGCTAGAGCTGCTCAGACGTAATCTGGCATTGATGCGCTCAGATGTCAGGAATCAGTATCTCCTGACACTGGAGCAGTCACACCATGGAAGGCCACCAATCATCCAGGTAGTCCGCACCGGGCAGCGAGGGCGCCCACGTATAGCGATTGACCATCAATTCCTCGAGTTTGCATATGCTCATCGAGGGCCAAGTGCAATTGCACAATTCCTGAATGTTTCTCGCTCTACAGTCAGGGAAGCACTTCTTGAGCATGGTCTTGCTCTTCCTCAAGCTAACCCTTTCCAATCCACCATGGCCACTGAAGGAGACAGAGATCCTACTAGTAGACCGGACACCGACACCGACACCGACACAGCTGATGACCTTTTGGATCCGCAGTTACCCATACCTAATGGAATCCTTTTGGATACCAGTGCTGCAACTGCTACTCCCACAACGACTCGTGCTGAGGTCAGGGTATCATCTGTGACTGGTCCATTGTCCACGTTGAGCTCTGAACAGTTGGATGACCTTGTATTACGCTTGCGGGAACATTATCGCCGTGCAGGCATTAGCATGCTGGACGGCATGTTGCGCAGGCTTGGACACAGTGTCCCACGAGAAGAACTGCGTGCATCGCTTCTCAGGATTGATCCAGTCAGGCGTGTCTTTGAGCGTATTCGCATCCGCAGGCGGGAATATAGAGTAGCTGGACCAAACGCGCTCTGGCACCACGATGGACAGCATGGTGAGTCCTTGTGGCTTTTACACTACTTTGCAGCTAAGTACCCACTGTATCAATGCAGGACTCATACGCTGGGGTCTCGTGATCCATGCATTCATAGATGGCTACTCTCGTCTTATCACTGGGATACGAGTCAGCAACAACAATAGAGCTGAGACTGTTCTTCAACTCTTTCTGGATGCCGCCGAACAGTATGGGGTCCCATCGCGGCTCAGGGGTGACCACGGGACTGAGAACCTAGCTGTTGCAGCCTGGATGGAGGCAAACAAGGGGACTCGACGAGGCTCATATATTTGGGGAAGGTGAGCTCGTTTGAATCACTGGGCATGCTAATTCTGATCAACAACTACAGAAGTGTCCATAATGTCCGTATCGAGAGGCTCTGGGTCGATGTAACGGCCCAAGTCGGAGCCAAGTGGGCTGACTTCTTCATATCCTTGGAGCTACGGCATGGCCTCGATATCAACAACATCAACCACATTTGGCTCCTCCATCACCTCTATCTCCCTCGAATCAATGCCGAGCTTACCTTCTTTGCAGAGAGCTGGAACCAGCACAGGATACAGATAAGAAATGGGCCGAACCGTTCACCAGCGGACATGTTCGGCTTTGACATGTATGTGCATGGGGTGCGAGGGGACCAGCTTCCAGAGGAGAATCTCAATGAAGAAGAACTTGAGGTATATGGTGTGGACTGGGAGGGTCTGCGAGATGATAGCTTGTTGCAGTCCCAGGAAGGAAATAATCTTCGAACTGAGGGGTCTACTTCTTGGGTTGGGCGTACAGGCCCACCAAGCAACCTGAGCGAGGTAACTGTGGAGCCACCGATTACTCACTCAATCATGTACCAGGATATCCAGAGTTTGGACAACCTGCTGCAGCCACTTGCCCATGCTGCAAGTGATGGAGAACTTATCGAGCTATGGGTTCATGGTCTAGCGTACATGCAGTCGATAAACAGCACAGTATTCTAATATATTCTGTACAGTAAGACCTCAGACTGTGAAGAGGCTTATCCGTCTTCATTACCCAGTCTCATATGGCCAGTAACAAGAAGCTGCAGCATACCCTCCTTCAGCACGTCAGCCCAGATAGAGTCCACCATGTGACACCCTGAGCTTCATCAAGGCTGAGGTGTAAATGTCCTGAGTAGTGAACTGCATGGGTTATGGGTAGGGGTACTCACAGGTACAGGTACGAGTCATGCTCAGACGTACCCCCAGGTCTCTAGAACACTGCGGTTTTGACTCTGGTGTGATATGGGTAAGCGCCGTTGTAACTCAGATCGTCGTAGCCATTGACTGACGTGCCTTATGTAATGGAGCCTCAGCATTGAAACCGAATATGGAAGGTGAATCTGTACCCTAACAATCGTCATACCGGAAGATTCTTATATTTGTATCCTACTTTTTATATTTTTATACAATTAAACAGCCTCATATAAGGCTCTATGGGCCATTTCTAGGAGGAGAACATACAAAACCGAGTGTTAGGGTCTCATGTCACAGACACTGTGACACTGCTAATGTCACATTGGTGGCTGTGATGCTCCTAATGTCACGTCGCTGGCATCCGACTCGAATACTTAGGTCCGTCTGCTCGATTGCCTTGGGGCTCTGCATTAGATCTAATGAAAAGTAACGCATCCATAAACCCTTTGAAATGCTATTTATCATGTTTTCTCAACCTCTGAGAACGTCTCCGACCGTCATCTTGGGCTAGGCTGCCATCATGAAAGGATGATGCATCGTCTCTCTCACCGACTTCTATCAATCCATCATCATGGGCTTCTTCTGTCCTTTGCAGCTCCAGCCCTAGCTCATACGATATCCTGCGGCGCTTTGAAGAGCGAGCATATGCCTCAAGCTTGTTCTTGTTATGTTCAGACTTTGGTCCCCCTGGACCCGTCATCCTATTGAGAACATCCAAGCACATAACCAGTCGAGTACTCACCTCTACTTCCTGTTTTGAGCTTGGCTGGACGACCTCTCTGAGGCTTTGTCTT